GAAATGATTCAGATGATGAAGTCGATATTTAGGTGAGTAGGACGGTAAAGATGATGAAGTCTAGTATGATGGTAAAGATGATGATGTCTATATTTAGCTGAGTATGATGGTAAAGATGTCTTCCTCATCATCACGTCATTATCACCACCAACAGATTGGATCGCGACCAGGCGGCTCGTCGGAACGTCCAACTGATCGGAGTCACAGACCCTGATTACTACGAGTTCGAAGGTTAAATAATAATAATAATAATAATAATAACGATGATGATGATGATGAAACAACAAACTTCAACAACAAACAAACAAATCAACCAACAAACAAACAGACAAAAACAAACAAACAAGTTAGTAAACAAACAAACAAGCCAGCAAACAAGCATAAAAAATAAACGAACCAACAAGCGAGCAAACAAACATAAATAACAAACGAACGAACAAACAAACGAATGAACAAACAAACAAACAAACGAACGAACCAACAAAAAGACAAGCAAACAAACAAACAAGCGAACGAACTAACAAACAAACAAAACAGCCCACGTATTCTTCGACAACGCCATGAACAACCACGACGACCCTGACGTCGAATACACAGCCAACGATTACGTCATCTTGCTGGTTGAAGTCCTCAAGGAAGCCGCGAAGTTAGTATGACGTCACATTGGAAATTATTATAAAATATAATATTTTTAATTATTTTATTTTACTTTTTTTTGTTTGGCGCGATGGTTCGCAAAGTTGTCATAAATCATTGGCGTGATTTAAATTCTTTCTGTAACAAACTCTTTGTTTGTTTGTTTGCTACTTCTGTAGGCTACTACTGGTTTCCTTGCAGCTGACGAACGATATTAAATAAAGCAATATTTGCGCGTGCTAAATTTTTTATATTTTTCTTATATTTAAAAAAAGTTTGAATCCGGATAAGTTTGAATAATTTGAATTTAAAAAAAACGTTAAAATAAACAACCGGAACATACGATTTTGAAACAAGGGGTGTGCACGACGGTTTAATGCCCGTGGACGATCCTGTAAAATATCCAACACCATATGGAGGCAGGCTGGAATGGGATCTTCCGGGGGAGAACAAGTTGATTGTGCATCTTAAAGACAGTATTAAAATTAGGCAAAAAAAAAGGTGGAGTCAGGTACGTCAATCAAATTTTAACAAGTTCTTATGTTGATACTTTGTATTGTCAATGCGACAAAAGAATATTTTGTCAAGTCCTTTTCCAGTGGCGTATCTATCTAGACAACTTCCACGGAGAGCCTAAATTTGTCAAAAATGTTGAAAATGCAAACTTTAAATGTTAACCGGGGTGGCCAAAATTTTGACAGGGGGCCAACATTTGTGGCCCCTTTCCCCAGATTCGCCATTGTCCTCGTCACTATCATTGTATTTTCATAGGCGCCATAGACTGCGTCATCATAATTTCATCATCATTCTTGCCATCACCATTCCAACATTAACGTCATCATCGTAGCTACAACCTTCATTTTACCAGCACCATCCCCATTCCCACAACATGCAGGTAATGTACATGTATTACTTTCTCGGCTTCAAACTCTGTTGCGACGATACAATGAGCGAAGAGCAGAAATCAACCAGATCANACCACACCTACTTGCTGGCCC